CGGCAGCAGAAGAGCCAGCGGCAGCAGCTCCCAGCAATGCAGCAGGGGGGGGGGGGTAGGAGGGAGCGGGCGTGGTGTGGTGTACGGCGTTGTGCACGACGGGAGTGGGCTGCGAGGTCGGCGGTGGTGTTTGGGGAGGCTGTCCTTGACCGCCTTGGCTGCCTGCTTGCATGCCCATGCTGTTGCTGCTGCTGCCTCTCCCCCGCTCCGACACAGCCATCACACATGCCCTGCTCCCCTTGCTGGTGCAGCCCCCCCCGCATCGGCGCCCCCCTTCCGCGATGCTGCGGCCAAGCAGAGCGGCGGCAGCCAGGCGGGGGTGCCAGAGGCGTCGCAGTGGCGCGAGGCGCGGCGCAGCCGCCCGGCAGCTGCCTTTGGATCCGAGCCACAGGCAGCCTCAGCTAAGCGCCTGCGGGTTGCCGCGGCAGCGGCACAGCAGGTGCAAGCGGCAGCCTCGGCACCTGCCTGGGAGCCTGGGCCCGTGGCGTGCGGCGGGGCGGAGGACGCTGTTGCTGCTGCCCCAGCTGCCGCCATGCACCAGGGAGTGCAGCCAGCCGCGGCTCGGCAGCAGCAGCAGCTGCCGCAGCAGCAGCTGCCGCCGGCTGCTGGCCCAGCCCTGGCGCCCGTGCTGTGCGCTGCGGAGCAGCGCTGGGCGGAGCTGCAGGCCGTGGTGCAGCAGCAGCAGGTGGCGGCGGCGGCGCGGGAGCAGCTCGTCGCCGACCTGCAGCGCGAGAATGCCGCCCTGGTGGCGCAGCGGGAGGGGCTGGAGCGGGAGCGGCAGGCAGCAGACCTCAGCGCGGCGGCGGTGGCGCAGCAGCACGCAGCCCAGGTGAGCGGCGCCTGGTTGCACACTCTCCCAACGCCCCGCCCAGCAACGCCTGCTCTCTCGGCCTGCCTGCGCGCCCGGCAAGCCATCCCGCCCACGCCATGCCTGTCCCCGCTCCCCGCTCCCCACTCCTGCCAACACACACATGCGCCACTGGCTTCTCCCTCTCTGCAGGTGGCTGAGCTGCAGCGCCAGCTGGCGGCAGCGCAGCGTGAGCGGGACGAGGCGGCGCGCTCTGCGGCGGCAGCGGGCGAGGCGGAGGCGAAGCTGCTGGAGCTGAGCAGCCAGCTGCGCAGGTGGGCTGTGTTGGCCGTGCTGCCTCGCCCAACAGGCGCACTCCGCCAGCTGTGGGGGCCTTATGGCCTGGGCACCGCCTCGAAGCACCTTCAAGAGGCCAGCGTGCCCTGGCAATTATGCTTGCTGCGCTGGGGGTGCTTGCTGGTGCAGGGATCGGGATAGCCTGGAGCAGGATGCTCGGGAGCATGTACAGCAGATTGGTGAACTGAATCGGAAGGTGGCGGATCGGCAGGCCAGGCTGGACAAAGCCTTGGTGGGTGGGCGGGCCAGTGGGAGCGCGCGCGCCAGAGGCCCGGGGCCCGCGTGCCGCCGTGTGTGGCTGCTGCTGCTGCTGCTGCTGTGCGGATGGCGCTG